AGATGAGACTTCTGAAGGTGAAGGGTGGTCTAGGTCAATAACACTCTTAGAAATATCGTCAGAGCTCTCGAGCGCATCCTCTGTCTGAGTTGACAATACAGTGGCTTCATCTTGAGACTCAGACGCCTTGACCTCGGGATTGATGTCAGGCGAAACCTCAGATTCAATAGCCAAGGTAGTCAAAGTCGAATCTTCCACAAGAGAAAGATCCTTAGTTTCGGATGAAACTTCTGGAGATAGGGGATCGGATATGTCAAGAATGCTCTTGGAAGTATTTCTAGAGTTCGAGAGCGTACCTTCGGTCTGAGTTGACAGTACGGGAGCATCATCTTGAGACTCTGACGCCTTGAGCTCAGGATTAGCGTCAGGCGAGACGTCAGATTCAACGGCCACCATAGTGGGAGTCGATTCTTCCGGGAGTGAAAGTTCCTTAGCTACAGATAAGACTTCTGAAGATGGAGGATGAGATATGTCAGCAATGCTCCTGGATGCAATTCTAGAGTTTGTGAGCCTACCTTCACTCCGAGTTGAGAGCTCAGTGGTTTCTTCAGTAGACTTCAACTCCTCGGGCTGAGGACTGGGATCGGGCAAAAGATCAGCTTCAATGGTAGTCGTGGGTAAAGTCGATTCATCCAGGGTCGAAGGATTTTCAGATGAGACTTCCGGTGGTGGTGGTGAGTTATCTATCTCAGCGACATTCTCGGAGATAACGTTGACACTCTCCAGCGTTTCTTCGGTCTGATTTGACGACTGGATCGTATCATCAGCAGACTTTGACTCTTCGGGCTGAGGAGCAAGGTCAGGACCGACATCAGCTTCAACGGCCACCGTGGGCAAGGTTGAGTCTTCGGGGGATGAGAGATCGTTGGTTTCAGAGGAAACGTCCGGGTGTATCTCGGAGAAGGTCTCCGAGATAGCGTGGGAGCTCTCGACCATGACTTCAGAGATAATCTGTTTCGAATTTTGAGTGGCTCCTTCGATTGCGACGGCCAACATAGGGGAAGTTAAGTCTTCAGTGGGCGAAAGCTCCCTAGTATCAGATGAGACTTCTGAAGAAGCGGTGGCAATGTCAGCAGCGCTCTGGGAAAAATCATTAGAGCTCTCAAGCGTACCTTCAGCCTGAGTGGACAAATGTATGGGTTCATCTTGAGGCTCCAACGCCTTATGCTCAGTGTTGATTTCGGGCGATGTTCCAGATTCAATAGCCACCGTTGGTATAGTCGAGTCTTCCAGGGGAAGAGGATCTTTGTCGTCAGTTGAGACTTCCTCAGGCATCTCAACCACGTTCTCCGAAGTAACGCTCGAGCTCTCGACTACGACATCAACGTCTTTCGAGAGTTGAACGATTTCTTTTTCAGAGTCCAGAACAGCAGATTCGACGCCCGCGGTAGGTACCGTCGAGTCTTCCGGGGTTGAACGGTCTTCAGATGAGAGTTCGGGAGGAGATGGAAGACTGCAGATCTCGACGACACCCTCAGAAGTCACGTTGGAACTCTCGAGAGTGGTTTCAGTCTGACATGGTAATTGAACGGTATCATCGGTAGACTTCAAAGCGTCGGAGTCAGGACCGAGGTCAGGAGAGACATCGGCTGCACCAGCCGCGCTGGGTAAAGCCGAATCTTCTAGAGACAGATGATCTCCGGTATCGGGTGATAGTTCCGGAGGCGGTGGGTTGCTTATCTCACCGACAGTCTCCGAAGTCACATCGGATTTCTCAATTATGGCTTCAGCCTCTTTAGACGATTGAACGGTTCCTTCCAGAGACTCCACAGCAGCATAATCAACAGCCACAGTCGGTGAAATCGACTCGTCCGGGAGGGAAAGATCCTTAGTCTCAGATCCTGTAACGTCGTTGGAGCTGTCATTCATCAACCCAATGGTTGCATCTTGGGACTCTAACACCTGAGGCTGAGCGTCGAAATTGGGCGAGACGTCAGGCTCAACAGTCAACGCAGGTGAATTTGAATCTTCAGGAGCCTGGAGACCGCGAGTCTCAGACAAGTCTTCCGAAGTTGGGGTGCTGATCCCGACGACACTCTCGGAAATGACATGAGAGGTTTCCGCAGGTGAGTTATCGTCCGGAAGTGGGAAATCTCGGGAGGCAGATGAGACTCCCGAAGGTGAAGAGTCGCCCGGTTGAGCGACAACCTCGGAAACGACGGCGGAGTTTTCGAGCATAGCTTCAGCCTGGTTTGACGATTGAAGGGTGATATCAGAAGTCTCCAACGCCTTAGACTCAGCATTGAGATCGGTCGAGAGAGCAGGTTTGATCTCCGACGAAACCTCGGGAGACGAAGGGATGTCCATCTCCGCGAGACTCTCGGAAACAATGTCTGAAGTGGTGTTTGAGGGCTTGAGGGTGGCTTCAGCTTGATCAGATGTTTGAACGGTATCATCTTGAGACTGTATCACCTTAAGCTCAGGGCTATGATCAGGCGAGACATCGGATTCAACGGCCAATGTATGCATCGAATATTCTGAGAACAAGCGGTCCATAGTGTCAAATGTGGGTATCGTGGCTTCAGCCTGATCTGAGGGTTGAAGGGCGACATCAGACGTCTCCAATACGCTAGAGTCGGCGTCGATGTGGGATCGAAAATCGGATTCGACAGTGGCCGAAATCGAGTTGGGTTCTTCCACAGGTGGGAGACCAATAATATCAGATAAAACTCCCGGAGCAGGTGGAGGTGAAGCGTTCCCTATCTCAAAGATACTCTCTGAAGCGATGGGCAAGCTCTGAATCATGACTTCAGCTTGGTTTGATGATTCGACGGCCGTAAGAGGATCGAGTTTGGGAGAGGGAGTAGATTTGATTGCCAACGTAGGCTGATTTAAAACTTCCTGATGGAACAGATCTCTAGTTTCAGATGTAATTTCGGGAGGGGATGAAGGGTCGCCTTTCTCGACCACGCTCTCGGAAGTGAAGTTTGAGCTCTCTAGTGTAGATTCATTATGATTTGTTCCGTCTTGAGACTCCAAAATCTGAGGTTCAGGGTCGAGAGTACGCAAGACATCAGCTTTGACAGCCACCGCAGATGAACTGGAGTCGCCTGGGGGTGAAATTTCAATTGTGTCGGAAGAAACTTCTAGGGCAGGTGAAGGGTTGCCAATCTCAACAACACTCTCGGAAGTCGTGTTGGAGCTCTCTAGCTGAGCCGGTTGTTCAACTTGTTCAGTAAAGGAGAAAAGTGATGACGGGTCCAAAAGTGGCTCGTCCGCTGGAGTCAGCTTGATGTCGTTGGAGATGTGTTCGGGGTCTTTCTCCTCCTCGGTCTCCTTGGATAGACCAGCAGATCTTTCATCGGCTTCGCTACCGCGTTCAATCGCCCGGTCAGATACTAAAAGTTGTGCAAGTGAGTATCATCTCTACATGATGAAGTATGCAGAGGCCATCTAGAAAACGCTAGACTCACACTCACGTGCTGACGAGTCATCTAAGGAATCCTCATTTGCAAAGAAAGAAGTTGCAGATATGAGTTCTAGGTCGGGTTGTCCTTCTTGAGTCTGCTCTACTGAGGTATTATTGGCAACTAAGAGCTCGGGTTCGTCAACATAGCCAATAGGAAGTGTGGCACTTGCAGCACTCGATTCGGTTGTGCCTATGGTGCGACAATCATCAGTTGCATGAGCAAACAAGAATTGTAATACAGGACATACTCTGATTGTTCTCTTGAATGTCCGAGCCGACAATTTGATTCATGACCCTTTGAAGTTGTATCTCGTTCGGAAGGCTGGGTGGAGATCCCCGGTGATTGAAAGCGGGTTGTTCAGGCTCAAGCACCTCGGAAGTTTCGGGAGACCTTGTGATGTGTTCGACTGCAACAGGTTATGAAGGTCAACAAAAATCCGGGTTCACGATCATCGACTCCAGCGAATTTTGAG